GACATTTAACATTATTGTTACAGGATATATGAAGTGAATTCTGAAAGCGAACTCTGAAGATGTCTGGATCCCTCACAAATTATTAAAAGTTAAGATTGTGCAGCATTTGGCATATGGTTCCCAAAAAATGCTTCGATGCCTGCAGGATAGCATTGCTTCAACTTTTTAAATTGAAGACATTTTCCTCCAGATCACAAGTAACTGTGGAAAACAATTGCATGATCTTGGGAAAAAGATGTGAGTGCTTTAAAGAGTTGCTAGGCTTGGTCTCCCATGTATTCTGAAGTATCTTTAGAGAATCAAATTCATAATTCTACCTCCTAATCTCTTCATCCTATGGAGTCTCCTCCATCTACTTTCAATGGATTTGAAATAATACAGTCTATATGGGTCAAATGTTACACTAGGTACTACACATATGGGTCAAAGATGAAGCTAGATAAAGAGTGAGATTTCTGAACTTGGCCTCTGATCAGGACATGCCACCACACACTGTTCTGCACTTTTATTTTTGCTTAGTCTAGTCAGGAAGTGCACATGATGCCCAGATTATTATTCGCAAGGTACCATCAGGGCAGTAAACCAAATGGAGCTCAAGAGCTCAGGAGAACTAACAACAGCTGCTGCCTGAAAAGGGGAAGAAAGACTTATGGCGTGGCAGCTTACAGAAACAAACAAACAAACAAACAAAAAAATTTACACTATTTCTGAGTACACAATTGCCCTTATAAATGGCCCATTAAACATGGCCACACCAGATTGTTCTAGATTAGGATACAAGCATGGAGGTTGGGGGCTAAATGCAGCGAATCAGCATCCCTCTTCTGATCCTCTGAAGTTTCCCAGAATGGATGAGGACAAAAATGTGACATGCATTGGAGGGTTGGGAAGGATTAAAGGGGGAAAAAGGAAAGCCTTCAGTTTCACGGTTGTTGAAGGCAGTTTTTCAATCCTTCAAACATTGGAATCCCATCTCAAAATAAACTTTAGCTTGTCCATCTGAAATCTTCGAATACCAAACTCTGGTGGGACTCTTGAATCGATAGACACTGCATACCCATTTTATGTCTATAAAAGAATTGTATCAAGTCTGTCATGATAGTTGAATTAAATAGGCACAGGATTCAGCTCTTCTGATACTGACATATGCACAAAAGGGGTAGGACTTAGATTGCAATGTTATGCCTGCCATTTTGCAGATTTTAATTTCCTTGTGGATACTGCTGGATTATACATTTCAATCTGCCATCAAAAACCACAGATTTGGATATTTATTATGTGAAGGACTTCTGAAAGGGAAAGTGAAGATTTTACCTCATTTTTGTCTGTGGCATGCTAACTTTCCAGGATTTGAGAATGTATATATGTGACATATAACCCTACTTTTCCTCAGGTATAGTGTGCTTCTGGGTGGAAGTCATATATTGCTCCATGACTGATCAGACTCTATTATGAAACATTTTAAGTTATTATACAAAGGTGGGCCATATAATGATCCCGCTCAATTAGGCAAACATAGGGTCACCAGATCTAGACTGCAAAACCCTGTATATCTGTTACTTGGCAACAAAGTTCTCCTTGCTGCCATCTAAGGATGCAATCTGCTGGCAGTAGGCAAGAAAGGATTCTTAAACTTTGGAAGTAGATGGAACTTCACTCATGATGAAACTACAAGGAGTCAAAGTTTTTGAGGGGTGACATTTTAAGAGCATACTATGGAAGCTCTCCATCAAAGGATTGCCATGAAGTGCATGGTCTGTCCCCGTTTACCACAAAACCAACATCTTATGTTGCTTCTTGCCATATCTTATAAAGTTAGAATATTGGTTTTGACTCCAATTGGCCTCTTTTCTGGGCATGTCAGTACAATTCTAAAATAAATGGCACTGGGCTACGGTCACTCATTTGTTTTATTTTTCAAAAATGCCTGAAGGAATTCAGGTTCAAAGGAATTCTAAAAATTCAAGATAAGACTGGCTGCTGTCTTGTGTGTCAGCTGTGTGTCAGCTTCCGATAAGTATCAGGTAAGGCAGAGAACTTGGTGATCTTCAAGACAGGTGACTAAGACTGCCACATTTCCTAAACCAAGCTCCTTTTAATTATATTTTTACCTTTGGTTATTCTTAAAAACATCTATGCTTTGGAATATATTTTTTGTTTTTGTTTTTTTATCTCATTGCTCATCATGAGGAGAATGTCAGCAACTTCTCCAAAAGGCTTTAGTGAACAGAGTGAGCTACAAGTCTTGATCTACTGACTAAATTAGGAAAACTTTCAACAAACTACAAGATTTTCAAAATGCCACCAAAGTTTTTTCAATACATTTTGCTGTCAGCAGAGAAAGACTAGGCAATAGCCTCTCCTTATTCCATATGTAGAAGCTAACCAGATTGGCAGATGAATGTTTGTTCAGTTCTGGAAATGAGGGCACTGCAGCTCTGGAGAACAGTCTAGCTTAGAAGGCTCTCCCCACCAAATTGCCACCCTCAGCTTTCAGTCGCTGCTGCCTCAAGCGATTACTTCACTCTCCTTTTGGCCTATGGCATCCCTGCAAATTTGGGTACATTTTGTTCCCTTGACTGTGGTCTACATGCCCAGCTACATGGGCTGAAGGGAACCACAGACACACATATAAATGTTCAGCAGAAGCTTAGCTGCCTGGTTTTTTTTGAGAATCATTATGCTTGGAGAGTTCCCACTTCATGGAATATCAAATGAAAGTCCAATGGTCAAATTCTATGTGGTTTTTTGACAACCTCCCTTTGTTTTTAAGGGATCTGGCACACAGCAAGCAGATTAAAAGGAAAAGCCATGCTTTCCTTTCCTTATACCAACTGGGTATAACCAGGAAAGAAGCATGGTTCCTTTGCTTTTAAAAACATACATGTGGAGATATGAACAACTCCTATCTGTGAGTGTCCAAGCTTCAAGAAACAATCTTAAAAGAGCCTGAGTGGCGCAGCAGACTAATGCTACTGTTAAAGGTAGTATTTAGCTTCCAGCTGCCTACAATTACTGTGAGTTCAATTCTCACCAGGCTCAAGGTTGACTCAGCCTTCCATCCTTTCTAAGGTAGGTAAAATGAGGACCCAGGTTGTGGGGACAATAAGCTGACTTTGTATAAAATATACAAAAGTATGAAGGCTATTGCTTAAAGCCTTGTAAGCCGCCCTGAGTCTCCGGAGAAGGGTGGCATATAAATCAAACAAACAAACAAAAAAAGGAAGTAAGAATAAGAACTTTCTGATGCATGAAACTAGAACGCAAGATGTTGCTAGGAAGTAAGAATAACAACTTCCTGTTGCATGCAACTAGAATGCAAGACATTGCTTTATGGTGAATTTGAACCAGTTCATTAGCTCATTATTATTTGTACCAATTTCCACTGGCTCAGTCTCCCCCAGTTACTTTGAATTTCATCTTATTGGATCTTTGACTGCTGACCTTTATGGCTGGGAATGATGGGAGGTGTGCCTTAGCCTATTGGGAAGGCATCAGGCAGAAAAGACAGGAGTACTTCCAGCTCTTCTTGGGATCTGAGCCACCAAATTCTTGCACATAAAAGATGTGCTCTAGGACTGAGCCTACAGCTTTGGGAGAAATTACATAGGCCAAAGCCCCATTTCTAGGTTCGCTTTTGTTCCTTTTTGCCTGCCACTAGTGATAAAAATTACATGTCCAAAACATTTTTGCCCAGTGGCAAATAAATCTGTGCAAGCAGTTTGGCAGATTTTTATTAATAACAACTCAGTTACATGAGTATTGCCTAGATATATCATGTGGAAAGCATTTGAAAAATATCCTTGTTGTGATTATGGTGTTGGCACAGTTATTCGCAAAGGTAATTGGCAACCATCAATCACAACCCTTGGTAAGCAACAATTTTTGTGGGCAAAAAAGAACAAGAGCCCCAATGTGTAAAATCTTCAGAGCGTATAATAAAACACTCTTTTATTTTATCTAGCAAAACTTCATGCACACTGGCAGTTATAAAAATAGTGACAATAATAGTACATGGACTTCCTATCTCAACTCTGCTACAGGCAAAATGAGAAAAATACCACCTACTCTCAGGTTGGAGATCCCTGGTTAATCTCTAAACAAGATAATTGGCTCATGAAAGATGGGAAGCTGTTACAAAAATTTCAGTAGTGAAAGAACAGCCGCCTCTTCAGATCCTACTAACCCAATTTCAAGCTCCATTCTGCTTTTTCTGTATTCTGCCTCCAAGGGAAAATATGATCAACACAGCTGAAAATCTGACCAATAACCTGAATTACCCTGAATAGACAAAATTCTCAAATCCCCTGGGATAGTCTGCATTTTTTTGCAGGGATCTTGTTTGGGTTTTTTTTTTTTTGTTGCTGTTATTTAAATCATGCTTAAAACATTATGCTAAAGTTCTGGACTGTTGTTAACTCCCACTCCAGAGGCGGTAAAGTAAGTCTCCTTAAAGTTGATTTCCATGGTCAACTGATGGGAGGAAAATATGGCAGTCCTGTTTGAAACTGGAACTTCAGACCAGCTGATTATGCTTGGCAGGCAGGAAAGTGGAATAAGCCACCTGCAATCTTGATTATATTTCTTGCAACCAAGACCTACACGAGGTGAACAGGCTTTCATTTACCAACCATGATCTGTGCCCACCTGAACTTGTGAAGGAGAACTGGACCCTCTTTCAGGTGTAAAGAAATTCCCAAAAGGCTTGAATACATGTTGCATTGCAATGAGTGGCTCAATTCATTGAAGAGGAGAGAAAAGAAACCTCAGGATGTCTTACCTAACTTCTGCATGCAAGCATGCAAACGAGCTTCCAAAATCAGCACTCGCTGTTGGAGTTCCTCGTAGTCATAGGCCCCCATCTCTTCCTGGATCTGAAGCAAGCTGCCTGAAAGGTTTCTCACTTCCTCTTTGAGCTGTACAATGGTGCGAGTGTCAGACTTGTATTGATCCAATACAGGAATAAGAGGCATCAGTTCTGTCATTTTGTCCTTGAGCTCCTGCCGGTGGAAACAAGAAAAATCCAATGAAGGGGAGCAAAAGGAGGAGTGTGACATGGTCACATTTTAATCTTTGACTTTGCTACTACTATTTTACCATGGGAACTTGCACTGCCTCTACTAGACTGGCGTTTCAGATGCACAACATACACCCTATGTGAACTGAAAAGAAGCAGGACAAAATAAGTAATGAAACAATGCATAATTCCTTCCCCTTTTGGCAGGAGTAGGCCAGTTGAAAATACAGTCAGCCAAATACGCCTTCCTTCAAAATGCACTAGTCTTCCAATACGCCAAAAGCGCACAGAACATTGTTACCTTCCGGAAAATAAGGCCTAGCATGATTTTTCAGGATGTTCGTAATATAAGCCCTACTCCAAAAATAAGCCCCAGTTAAGATCGTCATCTTGGGTTTGTTTTATGAATATTATCTTAATAAGGTATTCCCCCCCCTCAATATTCTTTTAGGTGAAATAATATTCCTTCCTTCCTTCCTTCTTCCCTTCCTTCTTCCCTTCCCTTCCTTCCTTCCTTCCTTCCTTCCTTCCTTCCTTCCTTCCTTCCTTAAACTGATCATCTCCCTAAAAGAGAAGCTCTAAATGGTGTATAGTGCAATATAATAGATAAATAAAACAATGTATACAAATTAACATTAAAATTAAATTAGGATTAAAAAAATTAAAATGATAGACTACTGGAAATTAAACATCAAAAGGGTAAAAATCTGAAGACAGCTATTTAATTTTGGTCGTTACAAGGCAGGGGGAGGGCGTCTCATGAGACTACTCAGTCCCACAGTTGAGAGGGCCTCTATGCTCTCCATGCAAGGCCACAGAGCCAAGATTTGACCACTTTGTGGAAGGCCAAGAGATTGGGGGCTTTCCTCACATCTGGGGGCAGATTGCTTCACAATGCAGGAACAGCAGCAGAGAAAGCTGTCAAAGAAAATTATTGGCTGTCTTTGCTTTTTATAGCCCATTTTAAGGTTCAGGTTGGACATTCTGCTCATGGAACCCATATCTACCTTCCTGTTTTCTTCAATCAAGTTTCCGTGTACGCACCTATGTACATACGCATATGTGCACACTCACACACAAGAAATCCTTACCCTTAAGCTTCACTTATAAATATATAAGCATAATGACCATTTATGCATGGCCAAAAATAGAAAATTAGAGAATGCAGGTTTGCAGAACATTAATATGTGCTGATGTACATATTAAAAAATCAAATCTGAAAAGCAGTATTTCAGACTCAGTGGAAATGCAATAGATGGAATCAAATATTGTATGTACTGCTCCTTGCTAATTTAATTTAATTTAATTTAATTAATTAAATTTATATGCCGCCCTTCTCCGAAGACTCAGGGCGGCTCACAATACATTTAAAAAATCATTATAAAAAGACATTGAAAAATTGAAAACATTAAAAACTCATTCACACCATTCATGGCCTGATCTCACCACATCACAAGAGCGAGATCAACGGCCCCAGGCCTGCCGGAAAAGCCAGGTCTTCACCGTTTTTCGGAAGGCCAATAGTGTGGGGACGGTCTGGACTCAGGAGGTAACTGGTTCCAGAGAGCTGGGGCAGCCACAGAGAGGCCCCTCCCCCATGGGCCCGCCAACTGACATTGTTTAGCTGACGGGACCCGGAGGAGACCAACTTTGTGGGATCTTACCGGTCGCTGGGAGCTATGCGGCAGAAGGCAGTCTCGAAGATAACCTGGCCCTGAGCCATGTAGGGCTTTAAAGGTAATAACCAACATCTTGAATTGTGACCAGAGACCAATAGGGAGCCAGTGCAGCTTGCGGAGAATTGGTGTAATGTGGGTGTTCCTAGGTGCACCCACGACAGCTTGCGCGGCTGCGTTCTGGACCAACTGTAGTCTCCGAACACTTTTCAAGGGTAGCCCCGTGTAGAGCGCTAACCGTCCCATTTTACAGTCACTTTTAAATCAGAATTGGACTGAATAGCCAATAAAACAATGCAGGACTATCTCCAATAGACAAAGCTTGAAAGCTGAGCCATCTGACAGCACAAATTCTTGGAGACACTCTTATGATTGGTATAAATCGACTATTTGCTTCCTTCAACATTACTTTGTTTACAATTCAAGTTCTCCTTTGAAACGTACAATAATAGCATGACATTTACTATGAATTTTCAGAAGTAGTCCTATGTTAATGCAAAGGTCAGCATGATCCATGTTCTTTCCAAAGTTTCCAGAAAAGTTGTGAAAGAAAAAGCGGGAAGGGGGGGGAGGGAGGGAGAGGGGGGGAGGAAAAGAAAGAAACAAAGAAAGAAGGAAGGAAGGAAGGAGAGGAAGAGAGAGAGAGGGAGAGGGAGAGGGAGAGGGAGAGGAAGACCTGATGTATCATATCGAAACACGTTAGAATGAAAACTTACTGATAAATTTAGGTTACAATCCTATCTAAGGTAGCTAATGTTTAGCGAAGAAATACCACTGTGAAAAATTCGTATTCTTATTTTACAAGAAGATTATTGTTTTGAACCAACATACTGAAAGTCTATGCATACTTCATTATTTCCCTGTAATAGAGAAGGCTCTAAAATGGATGACATCAACTTAAACCACAAGCCAACCCAGGGAGCACCAATAAAGAGCAATAATACAATTACAACAAGCAATAAACAAGATCAAACCACAATACAAACATACTGATAATTCATCATTAAATAATTATTAAGAAGCTAATAATTATTAAGGAAAATATGGAAAATTCTAAAAAAAAAATTGAATATCTAAATAGGAGGAACATAGACCTGCTGTAATGAGAACTTTCAATTAGCAGCAGAAGACTTGAAAGGAAATGTGACTGTATGAATTTACTATCCTCATACCAGTGGTGAAATCCACATTTTTTTACTACCGGTTCTGTGGGCGTGGCTTGATGGGCGTAGTGTGGCTTGGTGGACATGGCAGAGGAAGGATACTGCAAAATCTCCATTCCCGCCCCACTCCTGGGGCTAGCCAGAGGTGGTATTTGCCGGCTCTCCAAACTACTAAAAATTTCCGCTACCGATTCTCGAGAACCTGTCATGGATTTCACCCCTCCCTCAAACCCATTTTACAGAAAGAAGAAAAAATATATAGCATATTTTAATACCACCTCCAAAAGCCTTAAACGTGTATTCTACTGGTTTAATTAGAAGTACTTCCTGGACGAAATCAAGGGAAAAATATCATGTGCAAATAAAACACACTTTATTTATGCCCATCTGTTTCAAAGCAATCACATTCATGTATTACATTATTGTGCATCATCTAACTCCCAACAGATAGATATTATAAATAGAAATTTAGCAAACTGCTGCAACTGGGAAGGTGTAGTGACACAAAGCATCTGTTGAAAACATGGCAATAAGATGCAACTTCTATGACGCTTTCCAGACTGCCAGTCCACCATTTTTCAAACCTTTACAGTGTATTTTTAAATACACCCAGAAATATTTACCTTATAAATCTATGCTCAGGCTACCATATCAGGGCTTTAAAACTCTGATTGGCCACTGGTAGAAAATATAAATTCTTTGTTCCAACCTGATTATCTGGAGTTTTGTAGCCAGGATAAAAAGGCCTAATCTATGCTATGTCTATGTAAGTGTTAAGCCCGCGGAGAACATGAATCATTTTTTGTTGCAGATCATTCCAAGCAAGGCAATATATGATTGCCCTCTGTACCAAGTGATCCTCTCCTCCAATGCATCCTGTGACCATCCTAGGCCAAGCCAAGTCCAAAAAACACTAGGGAATTTGTTGAAGCCTGGTACACTGACAATTAGCTATCAGTAGAAATATAGACATAAACAATATCTTCAGACCAGAGGTGGGTTTCAGCAGGTTCTGACCAGTTCTGGAGAACCAGTAACAGAAATTTTGAGTAGTTCGTAGAACTGGTAGTAAAAATTCTGACTGGCCCCACCCCCATCTATTCTCTGCCTCCTGAGTCCCAGCTGATCGGGAGAAAATGGGAATTTTGCAGTAACCTTCCCCTGGAGTGGGGTGGGAATGGAGATTTTACAGTATCCTTCCCCTGCCATGCCCACCAAGCCATGCGACGCCCACCAAGCCACACCGACAGAACTGGTAGTAAAAAAATTTGAAACTCACCACTCTTCAGACTATGCAAAAGAGTCAATCAACAAGCCAAAAAGCAAACAAAAAGACCAAACTATCTCCCCACCAGCAATTAGCACCCAAATGAGCATAGATTATCTCCAAGATTAACATCAGACCAATAATCATGAAGTAAACAATATCCCAATCAAGGAACTGACAAACAAGCTAACAGTAAACAGTTCAACCAAAGAACCTCCAAGACCCACCAACACTGACAAGGCAAGGCACTCGAATATAAACTGAGAGCAAACCCCACTCCTTAGTAGCACTGATGATGTTACTTAGTTTGGGTAATGAAATGTCTGCAAGAAAACAACCAAGCCCAGAGGCCATCAAGGACCCCTCAATTCTTTCATCTGCAGATGAATTGATGTGTATGTTTCCAGTATAATAATGTTAGCAAGGCAGATTTCAAAGGAAAAAAAAAATAGAAAGAACAGACAAATATTGGTTTAGATATGGAATGCCCATATGTCTGGAATGTTGACAGCATGTTAGCTATTCTGGCAACATAAAAGATACCCGGAATGTCTCTTTCATCATTTGATAAAGATAAAAACCTACCTCTTAAATTTTATCCTGAAATGGAGTAACTTGGCTTCTCTACTTTATCTAAGCCAGGGGTCTGCAACCTTAAATATTCAAAGAGCCATTTGGACCTGTTTCCCACAGAAAAGAAAACACAGGGAGCCACAAAACCTGGGTGGGCGTGGCCAATTCAATGTCACCCACTTCCATCAGTCACATGACCCCCCCAGCCACGCCTACCCAGCCGGTCATTAGAGCAGAGAACCAGTTGTTAAAAAACACCGGGAGCCACACAATCCTTTTGACATATCTTTCTCTCCCCTCCCTC